TCCTCCTCCCTCTGGGTAGGCTGATCAAACGCCCTCAGAAGCAACAGCACGCTCTTACTCACTGGTGTATTATCCTCTTCTATCGTATTAGAGGCGCGTGAGACCTTCCTATCGCGTGTCCTCGTCGGTTCGCCCTTCGGGGCTTCGCGTGTCCTCGCTGTGTACTCATTCCACAGATCTGACATTTCTCGCAGGGCTTTTGATGCGCCCAGGATGGAGGAGAGTCGAAGGCAACTTATCGAATCACCTTCGATGTCTTCCACCACTGCTGGCCACACTGTTGTAAACACGTCACGGTCAACCCCTTCTTGCGCGGGGTGCTCCAAGAAGAACGCCTCGAACCTTTCAAAGGCGAGCTCGGCGATCCGCAGCAGATCTCAATTTCTCATCTTCCTCGTGTGCACTCTTAAAGTCCTACTCAGGCCATTACGACTGTTATCTGTGAGGTGTATTTACACGATGTCGATTTAGAACTATTGGTTCATAGACACTATTACGAACATTGTATTGCCTGTTCATTATATCACTGTTCGTATTATGAACCATCCATCACATTATATGGAGAGCGTGTAGTAATCACACTATAGTAATTGCATGAGAAAACTCTAGTAGAGGTTTGGTTTCCAGCGCCCCACCGATCGACCCCTCGCTTACACATCCGTCCAGAAGGCTCGAAGGTCATCCTTATTGGCGTGGAAATTCACACCCAATCGCAAACAGAAAGGAATGAACTCCTCAAGACCGATGCGCCCTTCTACCAGGTCTGGGTGCTCATCGACTGATGCAACCGTCATTGAACTAGTGAACTTTGTCTACCTCACTGCTCCTACCCCAACCGTGGAAAGTGAACGCGTCGATTATATGACTTACAGTGTGCTAACACTATTATTAGTATTCATTCCATCAAGTTGCCATCGTAACAGCTTGCTACTTCCATATTTTTCATCATCGATTTTTTTCAGCACAATTATACAGTGCCGCTCGATTGCCTGGCTGGGTGGTGAATCGAACCAACGCGAGACACTCTCCGTGCATGAGTGACATTTCACGACAACGACATGCATGGTGATGCTAATCTTCGGTTAGCGAAGAATGCTCAGCATCAAGGG